CCGCGCGCAGGGCAGGACAAGAGAGCGAAATTCCCAACTTCAAAGCCTCATATCTCGGCCGTTTTCCACTCGTTTCGGCTGATTTTTGGACGAGCGATCATCTCTCGGAACGCTCTCGAAGCGTGGATGCTTTTCCCGGAACGCGCGCGCGCGGAACACTCACGTTGAAGCGACGTTGAATCACCCTTGTCCTGCCCAGGCCGCGCGAGGAGCCGACGGAGCCGCCGCCGACGCTCGCGCCGCCGAAGACCTTCGCGGACTACATCAAGGAGCGCGACGCGCCGACGCCGGGGCCCGCCGTGGGGGCGCGGGCCGTGCCCGTCGAGGACCTGGGGGTCGTCGAGGACGAGGACGAGGACGACGTCGCGGCGGCGCCCCAGAAGCCGCCGGTCGCTCCGGACATCGACGACGACGACCCGATCCAAATGCCGCCGCTGGCCGAGGACCTCGGCGTCCTCGACGACGACAGCGAGGACGAGGCGGCCGCGCCCGCGCCGCCGCCCGCCCCGGCGCCCGCGCCCGCGCCGAAGCCGCCGCCGCCCGTCGCGCCGGACCTCGACGACGACGACCCGATCGAAATGCCGCCGCTCGCCTCGCCCTTCGTTCCGTCGTCGCCCGCCTCGTCCCCGCGCGCGACCGCGCCCGCGCCCCGGGCGAGGCCGACGCCCTCGTCCGCGCCGCCGCCGCACTCGTCGTCGGACTCGGACGAGCCCGCGCCGCCGGCGCCCAAGCAGCGGTCGACGTCCCGGTGGGCCATCCACAAGCCGGAGGGCTGGGTGCCGAAGTCGCAAAGGACGCCCGAGGCGGCCTCGCCGCCGCCGCGCAAACAGAAGCATCCCATATCGCCCCAGGCGACGACGCCGGTGCCGCCGCGGTCCTTCGCCGCCTTCATGAAGTCCCGGAAGCCCGGGGAGACGCCGACGACGCCGAAGAGTCGGACCGTGCGGTAAGCGTAGTCTTGTGAGTACCTAGGCGTGTACCTTGCGACGTCGTCTTCAAGACCTTCTTCAACAATCCTGACCTTGCAGACTCCTTGAGTCAGATCGCAAACGGCGGCCCGAGTCGCTCGCGAGCCAGATCGTCGTCGCCGGCGTCCCCCTGACCACTCTAAATCTTAATGTGTGTTGTGAATGATCGTCGTTAACTAACGTTTTCGAGACGTGATCGTTGAGAATCGATCGTCAAGAAGCGTGCGATTGTCTAAACGTCGAGCGCCAAGAGTTGTCTAGGACTCAACGCTCCGAGCTCTCAACTTCGGCGGACGTCGGGATAACCTCGCGCCACGCCTCCGAGAGAGCGCCCGGGACGCATTTGAACGCGCGCCGCGCCGCAAGCCGCTCTGAGAGGCCGCGGGACGGGGAAAACGCGAAGCGGTTTCGCGAGACCGCCGACCCGCGCAGGCGTACACCATGGCCTCCAAGATCCCGACCTGGGCGGGCGCGGCGTCCTTCGCGGTGCCCATCGCCGTCGCCTACGCCGCCGACAAGGCGTCGAGCCGCTGCGAGACGTGCCTCGCCGTCGAGCTCGGCATCCTCTGCCACCTGCTCCACCGCCTCGCGCGCGTCGCGGCGGCGCCCGAGGGCGTCCTCGGCGAGTTCGGCCCGCTCTGCGCGGCCCTCGCCGCCATCTTCTTCAAGCCCGCCTGGGAGTCGACGTCGACGATCGCGGCCGTGACGCTCGTCGGCGCTCTGCTCGCGGCCGAGGTCTGGCGCGCCGGCTTCGCCGACGGCTCCGCGCGCGAGGGCGCGCACGACACCTGGCTCACGCTCTGCGGCGCCGCCTGGACCTACGCCCTCTACGAGAGCCCCGTGGCGGCCCTGCTCGTCCTCCTCCCGCTCAGCACGATCATCCGCCAGGATCTCGTCGAATCGATCAACGAGCTCAAGCCCGTCGCGCTCCGCTTCGGCGTCGTCCCCGGCGGCCTCGCCGCCTACATGGCCGCCACGGGGGGCCTCGTGCCCACGGCGACGGCCCTCGCCGCCGGCGTCGGGGCGCCGTCCGCCGACACCGCGGCCGCGGCCGTCGCCGGCGCGGTCGCGACGTTCGGCTCCGTGGAGCTCGCGGCCGCCGCGGCCGCGCTCGTCGCCGCCGCGGCGTTCCGGCTCAAGAAGCGCGGCGCGTCGGCGCTCTACCAGAACGTCGCCCTGGCCCAGCTCGTCGTCGTCCCCGGCGCCTACGCGCTCGTCGCGGAGCCCGACTTCGCGTTTGCCGCGGTCGTCGCCGTCGCCGTCGCGGGCGCCGTCGTCGCGACGGAGCTCCTCGACGTCGCCGAGTCCAAGTCCGACGTCCTCCTCGTCCTCGCCCTCGCCCTCGTCCTCGTGGGCCCCGCGCTCCAGACGTCGGCCATCTTCGGCGGCGCCGCGCCCGTGGCCAAGCCCGCGGCGTACCAGGCGAAGACGACGACGACCTACGCGCCGCCGCCGCCGCCGCCGCCGGAGCCCGAGGCCGCCTACGCCCAGGCCCCGCAGAGCGGCGAGGACGACGACGACGACGAGTGAGCGCCCGCGCCACCTCCAAGCGGCCGCGACCACGCGCCACCTCCGCGGAGACGATCCCCCACCCCCGCCCCGTCGAGCCGAGCTCCGGACGCCCCCTAACCCCCATCCGCATCGAAGATCCGAATTGTTACGAGCGAGGGGCGGGCGCGGGGTCGTCGGTCGGCTCAGAGGAAATTTGGTTGCGAATTCTCCGTCACGTCGGCCTCGCAGCCGCAGCCGTCGGGCGCGTTGCCGACGAAGCAGCCGAGCGCGGCCTCGGAGAAGGACTGGCGGGCGGGCCCCTCGCCGGTGATGTCGACGCGGCGGAGCGCGTCCTGGCTCCAGACCTCGGGCGCGTCGTCCGTCGCGTCGCGCGGCCGCGCGGGGACGGACGCGGTCTCGTCGTAGGCCACGGGCTCGAGGGGCTCCTTGATGTCCGGCGGGATGAAGATCTCGGCCGCGTCCTCGTCCGACGGCGGCTCGATGGCCTCGGCGGCGGCGGCGGGCGGCGCCTCGACCGGGCGGCGCCTCGTCCGGCGGCGGCTCAAGGCCCGGACGATGTGATCGTCCTTGGCCTCGCGCGCCTTGGCCTCGTAGAGCTTGACGAGGGCCGCGCCGTACTTGCCCTTCCGTTTCAGCTCGACGGCTTCGAGCTTGAGCTGGGCGATGGTCTGCTCGTGGCCGACGGCGTGCGCGGCGTGGCCGTCGTTGTGGCGGTGGCCATGGAACGCGCCGCGCCCGTCGTTGTGGCGGTGGCCATGGCGCGGGCTACCCATACTGCGCCTCGACCCAGCCTCTATGAATTGTGCGATACTAGTATTGTTGAGGCCAATCATCCCCCTCCATGAAGATATACATCGCAACAACGCGCGAGGTGCGAGAGGCCGGGGCTGTAACGAGCGCAGACCGCCGCACGATGCTGCCCGCGCGCGCCGCCGTGGAGATCCCCGGCGCGCCGCCGGGCCACCTGAAGAAGAAGACGATGATCAAGGACCGCGTGGGGTCCGTGCGCACGACGTCCTACGAGCTGCCGGAGGAGACGCACGTCTACGGCAAGGCGGACATCAAGGACAGCGAGAACGCGGGCGTCGTCATGTCGCGATGGATCGCGAGCACGCCGTCGCAGCCCAAGGAGTCGCAGCGGTCCTTCATCAAGACGAACAAGCTCGCCCTCAAGGAGGGCTGCCTCACGGCCAAGTCGCAGCGGGCCTACGCGCAGGACCACCAGGACATCCGGTTCACGCAGCCCAGCGGCAAGCCCACGGCGACGCGGAGCGAGCCGCCCTTCAAGGGGCCCTACGGGGCCGTCACGAAGCAGCAGGGCGAGTCCATCCGGGGCTTGATCGAGGCGGGCTACACGGAGTGGCTCGAGGACGGCGTCGACTACCCGGACCTGAGCGCGCTCGAGCAGAAGCGGCGCCTCAAGGCGCCCAAGGCGACGAAGGCGTCCTTCGGCCACGACATCCGCAACAAGGAGGAGGACGTCGTCAAGGAGCCCTTCAAGATGAAGCGCTTCGCCAAGGTCCAGAGCCGAGTCAAGTTCGGCTAGGCCGCGGAGGGCGGCCGCGCGCGGACGTACTAGTAAGAACAAGGGACATTGGAAAGTGCAAAGGCGGCTCCACGTATTACAGCAGCGTCGTACAGTAGGGACAGGTGGGGATCTTCGTCTGCTTCGCGCACTGCTGGACCCAGAGCTGGAGGCAGTCCGCGTGGAAGACGTGGGCGCAGGGGTCGATGCGCTTCGTCGCGTCGCCGGGCTCGAACTCGCCCATGCAGACGCTGCACGTGCCGTAGGCGTCGCCGAAGGCGCCGAGGAGCTCCGCGCGCGTCGGCGGCGGCGCGTCGCGCGGCCGGACGAAGCCCGCCGCCTCGACCCGCGACCGCAGCGCCGCGTCCTCGAGCAGCTCCGGCGCCTCGTAGGTGACGACCTCGAGGCCGGCGACGCGCGCGAGCACGCGGTCGACCTCGGGCGCGTGCTCGGGCCGCGGCGCGAGGCCCGCGTCCGCGAGCGCGCCGCCGAGCGCCGAGAGCGCGGCCTCGCGCACGGGCCGCACGGCGACGAGCACCACGGCGGCGCCCGCGAGCAGGGAGAAGAGGTGCTCCTCGAGGAACGACGACAGGTAGGACCAGAACAGCCAGGGCAACAGTGTCCACGCGGCCGCGGACGCGACCTTTTTCGCGCCCGCGAGGCCGCGCGACGCCGCGCGGCGCGTCGCGGCGGCGGCCGCGCGCAGCGAGGCCCCGGGCGTCGTCGCCACGCGGGCCAGGGGCTTCGCGACCTTGGCGGCGACGGCCGCGGCCGCGACGCATTTCGCGACTCGGACGGCGTTCGGCCCCGGGAGCGCGCTCGCGGACACCGCGCCCGCCAGGACGCGCCCGACGTAGGCGGCGCCGACGGCCAGCACGAGGATGACGCCCGCGCAGGACTCGGGCGCGAGCACGACGACCGCGACGACGTACTCCCACCGCGGCTTCCACCGCTTCACGCCCGCGCCCAATCGGTCGCGCCAGCCCGCGACGCGCGCGCCGCCCGACAGCTTCGCCAGCACCGCACATACGAGCCAGAGGCCGCCGGCGGCGCAGAACAGGCACGCGTAGGCCGCGGCGAGCGCGCCGAGCGCGAAGACGACGAACGTCCCGAGGAACCGCGCGAGCGCGGCGCGCCACGTGCTCGACCGCGCGACGTCCTCCGCGTAGGCCGCGGCGCGCTCGCGCTCCTGGGCGTCGTAGGCGCCGCGCGTCGCCGCGTCGCCGAGCGTCGACGACGCCTCGTGGAGCGTCGCGAACGTCGACGTCGCGAGGAGATGCGCCGCGCTCGCGAAGTACGACGCCCGCTTCGCGCGCGGCAGCGTCTTCGCGCGCCAGGCGTCGACGGCCGCGGCGGCGTCGGCGTCGCCCGTGAAGCCTAATGACTCTAAAAGCTCCGACGCCTCGGACGCGTTGAGCGCGCCGTCGGCGTCCGCGTCCAACGCCGCGAAGACGAGCTCGTAGATGCGGCCGCGGTCCTTCTGGGACGCGAACCAGGCGTCGGGGTCGCGCCGCAGGCTCTTCTCGAGGGCCTGGACCTTCGACTTGTAGGCCGCGGCGACGGCGGCCTGCGTCGCGTTCCACGGCAGGTCGAGGGCGGCGTAGAGCGTGTGCGTGGCGGCGCTGTCCTGGTACCAGTCGGCCTCGCCCTTGGGCTCCGCGGATTTCGTCTCGGCGCGCCCTCGTCTCGCCTGGGTGGCGTGAAACGTCGCGACGAGCGCGACGAGGGCGGTGCGGCGCCACGCGGCTCGAGCCATCGTTGGCGGCGCGCGCGCCGCGAAGCCGAGCCAGGCCGGAGCTGCCGCAAGCGCTTCGTCGGCTTGGCGACATCGATGGGCAGCCACTGAAGTCGACTTTCGCCTCGTCATCTGGCGCGTCCGACGCATTACGTGCACGAAAAACTAGCCAACGATGAGCGCGCCGGCCGATGCTACGAACATCGACCCGGCGTCGGTCGTCGCCGTGCTCCTGGGCACGTTCTCGCCCGTGGCGGAGACGCGCAAGGCCGCGGAGCTGCAGATCGCGCAGCTCACGGCGATGCGCGGGTCCATCTTCGTGCTGCTGCGCGTGAGCGCGGAGCAGGGCGTCCAGTTCGAGGCGCGCCAGGCCGCGGCCATCGCCGTGAAGAATCTCGTGAAGAAGCGCTGGGGCGACGACGCGGTCTTCGGCGGCGCCGAGGACCGGTCGCGCGCGCGCGCGACCGCGCTCGACGCGCTGCTCCTGCCGTCGACGACGGGCGCCATCCGCGAGCAGCTCGCGGAGTGCGTCAACGAGCTCGCGCTGCGCGACTTCCCGGACCGCTGGCCCGAGCTCGTGCCGCGCGTCATGGCCGCGCTGCGCGCGCAGGCCGACGCCGCGTCCGTGCACAACGCGCTCCTCGCGCTGCGCAAGGTGTCGAAGCGCTTCGAGTACAAGAGCCGCGAGGACGGCGCGCGGCTGCCGCTGGACGCCCTCATCGGCGAGAGCTTCCCGTTATTAAGGGACATGCTCGCGCGCTTCGTGCCCGCGTCCGGCGCGCACGCGGACGCGGCGATCCTCGCCAAGCTCATCCTCAAGATCTTCTGGAGCTGCACGCAGTTCGCCCTGCCCAACTGCGCGCTGCGGGACCACGCCTTCATCCTCGACTGGTTCGACTTGGTGAAGGCGGCGTTGGAGTGCGACTCTCCCTCGCCCGAGGCCGCGCGCGGCGCGCTGCCCGCGGGCGACGCCCAGGCCCTGGAGGCGCTGCCCCAGTGGAAGCTCAAGAAGTGGGCCGCGCAGATCGCGACGCGCTTCCTCACGCGCTACGCGCGCGCCAAGTACGTCGACGACGCCGTCAAGCCCTTCGCGCGCGTCTTCGCGCGCGACGTCGCGCCCAAGTGCCTCGAGTCCATGCTCGGCCTCCTCGCCGCGGCGTCGCGGGGGCGCTACGTGTCCAAGCGCGTCGCCCAGCTCGCCTTCAGCTTCCTCGACGCGGCCGTCGACATCGGCGGCCTCTACAAACTCCTCAAACCGCACCTCGACTTCGTGCTCTTCGAGTGCGCGCTGCCGACCCTCGAAGCGACGCTCGAGGACGTGGACCAGTTCGAGAGCGACCCGGGCGAGTTCGTGCGCAAGAGCCACGACCCCATGGAGGACTTCTTCGAGCCGCGCGCGGCGGCGATGTCGCTGCTCTCCGATTTGGTGCGGTCGCGGTCCAAGGACGTGCTCGAGAAGCTGTTGACCAGGCTCTCGCAGACCCTGGAAGCCTACGCGGCTTTAGCACCCGCGGCCGTGACCCTGGACTGGGCGCGCGCGAAAGACGGCGCGCTCGGCGCGCTCGGCGCGCTGAGCGAGGATTTGAAGCCCCGCAAGGCGCTGGCCGCCGCCGTCGACCGCCTCTTGGAGGTCCACGTGCTCCCGGAGATCGTCGCCGTGGCCGGCGCGCCGGCGCACTGCGGCAGTTTCGGCTTCCTGCGGAGCCGGGCCGTCTGGGTCGTCATGCGCTTCGCGGACCACGCGGAAACGTTGTCCCCCGCGCGCGTCGAGCAGTGCTGCGGCTCCGTGCTGCGCGCCCTGGAAGACGCGGCGCTGCCCGTGCGCGTCGAGGCCGCGTCGGCGCTGCGCCAGCTGCTGGCGAACGAGCACGCGATCATCGAGCGTCTGTTCAAGCCGCAGCTGCCGAACATCCTCGAGGCGTGCTTCCGCATCATGGCCGACGTGGGCAGCGACGACGTGGTGCAGGCTCTCGAGATCGTCATCGACAAGTTCGGCGACGCCATCGCGCCCTACGCCGTCGCGCTCGCGGCGAAACTCGCGGACGCGTTCGCCAACTACGCGTCGCACGCGGACGACGACGACGAGGCGTCCATGGCCGCGGCCCAGTGCGTCGAGGCCATGGCGGCGCTGCTGAGCGCTCTGGACGACAACGCGGGCAACATCTACGGCGCCATCGAGCCCCACCTCGTCGGGCCCCTGGCGAAGATCTTCCGGAAGGACGGCGACTTCGTGGAGTACTTCGAGAACGGCATCGAGGTGCTGTCCTACCTGACCTACCACGGCGACGCGCCCTTCTCGGCGCCCCTCTGGTCCCTCTTCGAGATGCTCATCGACGCCTTCCACCAGTGGGCCTACGACTACCTCCCGGACCTCGTCGCGCCGCTCGACAACTTCGTGTCGCGCGACCCGGAGGCCTTTTTGCGCGGCGCGACGGCGGGGGGGCAGCGCCTCGTGGACGCCCTCGCGGGCGTCGCCGCGCGCCTGCTGGCGCCGGAGCACCAGCGGCGCGCGTGCGAGCGCGACTGCGTCAAGGCGACGCACGTGCTTCTTTCCATATTCCACAACTGCCGCGGCCGCGTCGACGACGTCGCGCTGGGCACGCTGCCGCTCCTCGCCGCGGCCTTCGAGTGCGCCGACGGCCCGCCGCCGGCCGAGGAGATCCGGGGCCGCGAGGCCGCGGGCAACGTCGGCGACGACGCGCACCGCGTCGTCTACCGGAAGTCGCTCGCGCTGGCGCTCCTCGACGTGCTCAACTCGCTGCTCTTCTACGACCCGCGGCTCGTGCTCGACGGCCTCTTCGACGCGAACCGCGTGCCCCCGCGCGCGGCGGAGCTGCTGCTGACGAAGTGGCTCGCGTACGCGGCCGACGTCAAAACGAACTTGGGCAAGAAGCTCGCGGCGCTCGGCTTCGCGGCCGTGCTGGCCATGGAGCCGCCCCACGGCGCCGTCGCCGCGGCGCTGCCCCGCGTGTTCGCCGCCAACGTCGCGGCGCTCCTCGCGATCCAGAGCGATTCGCGCGACGACGTCGACGACGGCGACGACGACGACGACGACGCGTTCGACGACGTCGACGACGACGACGACGAGCCCGAGGACGCCGACGACGACGACGACGACGACGACGTGCCGGACAACATCGGCGAGAACTACGGCAACGAGCTCTCGGCGATCCGCGGCGCGCTCGCGTCCTTTGCGGACGCGGACGACTGGGACGACGACGACGACGACGCCGAGGGCTACTACACGTCGCCCATCGACCACGAGGAGGAATTGCTCCACTTCCTCCGGGCGCTGCAGGTCGCCCAGGGCCGCGGCGACGCGGAGCGGTGGGCCGCGGGGCTGGGCGACGAGCAGCGCGGCCACCTGCCCGCGCTCGTCCAGGCCGCGGAGGAGAAGGCCCACCAGGCGGCGCTCCCGACGCCCCCGTCGTAAGAGGACTATGCTAGTCCGTGGCAGCACACGCCCTCCGGCCGGCTTAGAAGGCGAAGCAGCCAAGAGGGCCATGCAACTGGAGCCGTGGCAGCACGCCCCGCCGGCCGGCTTAGCCTTAGAAGGCGAAGCAGCAGCGGTCCGCGCGGCAGTCGCGGCGCGCGGGCTCCGCGCGCGCGTCGCCGCCGCCGTCGTCGTCCTCGAGGGGGTCCTCGTCGAGGCGCGTCACGGCGAGGTTCAGCGGCGCGACGTCCAAGGGCGGCGTGTTGAAGGCCTCCTCCTTCGCGAGGCGCGTCTCCTCCTGGACCGCGAAGGCCGCGTCGCGGTGCCTGTGTGGAAATCAACCACTGGTTTGGGACGTGCTGACCAAACTTTGAAATTCTCTCGCTCGGTCACATCGAAGTCGATTCGGCTGATTTTTGGACGAATCGATGGCTCTCGTCGAGTTCTCGAAGCACGGCTGAAGATCCTGGTCCAAACCGTTCGATTACGCGCACATTGAAGTCAGCGTGAAGATTTGAGTTCCACACGGCGCGGTGCATGCCCTGGACGAACTTGAGCGTGATGGGCCGCGCGCCCTCGCGGACGCGGCGCTGCAGGTTCCGGAAGAAGCCCGGCCGGTGGACGTCGACGAGCAGGACGCCGTCGACAGCAACCAACTCGTCGCGCGGCCGGAGCGCCGCGCAGTCGCAGTCGAGGCCCGTGGAATCGACCTCGACGAACTCGCGGCCCTTGGCGCCGTAGCGCGCGAGCGCGACGGTGAACCGGAGCCGCGGCGCCCGGAACGTGTGCTCAAAGGTCAGCCCGCGCTCGTCCATGCGCGCGACGTGCTTTTTCAGGAGTCGGGTCACGCGCTCGACGGCCTCGGCCCGCGCGCCCGCCTTGGCCTCGTCGAACGCGTCGTCGAGGAGGTCGCGCGACTTCGCGGGCACGGGCGACGTCGACGGCAGGAAGGGCGACGTCGGGGGCGGCGACCCGAAGGCGTCCGGCGACGTCGGGGGCGGCGGCGACCGCGACCGTGATGCGTCTCTAAACAGCGACCGCGCCGATTTGGGTATGATCGGCGGGGGCGAATCGCTCCGGGGGCCTCCACCGCCCTCGCCGCCGCCCGTGCCGCCGCCCATCGTATTATTGATGCGGTGAGATGCCGAGGCGCGTCGCGCAAGCCGTGAAGAGGTCGCGGCTCCTTGCGCTCTCGAGAGTTTGGCTTGCTAAACGTCCACAGGCTGGCACAATGACGCTCGCTCACGCTGATCCAGCACGTCCTCCGAGGCCTCCTCCGCTAGCTCATTACTCATAGACGGCGTGGTGGTGCTCCTGCACGAACGAGTCGCGGCCGTCGGCGCTCCAGAACTCGCCCCGCCGCGCCGCCTCCGAGGGACTCAGGCAGGGCTTCGGGCCGGTGATGGTCGCCTTGAGCTGCGACGCGCCGATCAAGAGGAGGACGAGCGCGAAGATCGCGGCGATGCCGCCGAAGACGAGGACGGCGGCGGCGGCGAAGGTGACGCGCGGGCTCAGGCTGTGGAGCTTCTTCTTCTTCGACCCGTGGAAGGTCTCGTTCGTCGACGGCGCTGGCGTCGGCGCGCGCGACGCCGTCGGTCCGAGCGTCCGGTACGACGGCGGCGGCGTCGGCGCGCGGCTCGGCGGCGCCGTCGAGGGCGGAAGCGACGGCGCCGGCGCCGTCGCGTTCGGCGCCGTCGGCGCGGCGCTCGGGCGCGGCGCGGACGGCGCGCGCGTCGGCGCGGCGCCGGTCGGCGCGCGCGCGGGCGCGGCGGACGGCGCCGCGCTGCAGCCGCAGGCGCGCTCGCAGGCGTCGTAGGCGACCGCGTCGTCCTCGCCGACGACGGCGCAGCGCGTCGCGTAGTCCGCCACCCAGGCGCAGTCCTTGGCGGGGGCCCCTCTCTTGTGCCAGGACGCGGAGTCGTGGCACGCCGCCGTCGGGACCCAGGACGCCGTCGGGCCCAGGCTCGGCGCCGCGCTGGGGTCGCAGCGCGCGACGGACGCAAGCGCGACGGCCAGGAGCCTCCTGCGCATCACCGGATTATCTTCGGGCGGGCTCCATCGTCTGGAACAAGAGGCTGCCCTTGAACATGTCAACAGCTTGATTGCAGCCCCTCGGGAGTTATGGGATAGCACCAATATGACGCGTCTCGACGGCTGACGCGATGGTCTACACGCGCATCGTGCAGCCGGGCATCCGCAAAAAGTACCACTACGTGCCCGGCGAGCGCACGCTCTTCCGCGTCGAAGGCACGATCATCCCCAAGGTCTGGAAGACGGCGGTCCTCGTCGCGCTGCTCACGCTCGCGCTGTGCTTCGCGCGTCCGGGCGTCGTCCGACGAAGTCTGCTCGTCCAGCGGCGCTGTAGGTCTACGACGAGCTGCACCACCGCGAGCGGCACACGCCCGCGGCGCTGTCGTCGCGCGAGCGGCTCGCGCTCCACCTCTTCCGCGACGCGGAGAAGATCCTCGCGTACCTCACGGGCTTCCTCACGTTCATCCTCGGCTTTTTCAACTCCATCGTCTTCGCGCGCTGGTGGCGGATGAGGGAACTGTGCGGCAACGTCATCGAAGCCGCGCAGAACAGCGCGATGCACATCGCGATCTTCGTCGTACGGAGGCCCGCGGACGACGCCGCGGGCGAGGCGGAGCTGGAGCGGACGCGCCACGAGCTCGTCCGCCTCATCGGCCTGGCCGTGGCGCTCGTGCTCCAGGCCTGCCACCGCGTGAGAGACCTGGACTGGCTCGCGGAGAACGAGCTGCTCGAGCGCGGGTCCGCGGAGCACGCGGCGCTCGAGGAGATCGCGGGGCCGGGCTACAACGAGGTCATCGGCTGGGCCGTCGACGCGACCTACGAGGCCGGCGCGCGGAAGATGGTCGCGCCGGAGGTGCTCAGCTCCGTGCTCTACAGCGTCCGCTGGGCGCTCATGTACGTGTCGAACCACGCCGAGGACCTCATGATGCACCTGAACCAGCCCATCCCGCTCGCCTACTACAACCTGCTCGAGACCATGGTCTGCATCTACATCGCCGTCGCCGCCGCGGCGCTCGTGCCGTCGCTCCTCTGGGCCGCCGTCGCGGTGTCGCCCGTCGTGACGCTGTTCTTCTACGGGTTCTTCACGTTGGGCACGAGCATGCTCATGGACCCCTTCGTCAAGGACTCGGGCTTCGACACGCTGGCTTTCATCAAAGCGACCATGCTGTCCATGGACTCGCTCGAGCGGAACGTGCCGCTGCGCCGCCGCGTCGCGAGCCCGAAGCGCGGCAGCTTCAACGTCTTCGCCGACGACCCCGCGAAGGCCTTCGACGACGACCCAGGGCCGAAGAAGGAGAGGTGATCGCCTAAGGGCTCAAGCTTCATGTCGGCGCTCATGTTGGACTAGTTATTGAAGGGGACGCGCGCTCGACTGCGTCGTCTCCACCGGGAAAGTTTCCCTGCAAGTGCCGTCGTGTTGCCGCGCGGCGTCGTCGAGGTGGTAGAGCTGGTTTGGCAGCGTCGCTCCCGCGTCGCGCCGCCGCCGTACCCAGCGCCGTTCCACCGCTCCAAGCCCGCGCGCGCGCGCGACGGTCGCCTGCGTCGCGCACCCATGAATTTCAGCGGCGCGAAGAGTCAGTCGACGCCGCCGGAGCGCGGCTCCTTCCCGCTGGACCACGGTGCGTCCGCGGCCCGCATTCGCCGCGCCCGCAGCGCCGCGCCCTCGTCGCAGGCGGCGAGTGCAAGGCGCTCAAGACGAAATTCATCGCGTGCCTCAAGGCCGAGGGCAGCGAGCACGTCGCGTGCAAACAGCTCTCGAAGGCGTATTTGGAGTGCCGCATGGACCGCGGCTTGATGGCGCGCGCGCGCCGGCGTCCACCGCGACGCGCGGCGCGCCCTCCGACGACGCGCGCGCGCAGGCGACGACATGAAAAACATCGGCATGGACGATTCGCAGACGCGGGGCAATCGCGTCGACCACGAGGGCGTGCGCGAGAGCGGGGGCTTCGTCGCCGGCCTCCACATCGACGAGCGCAAGTCGATACTCCCCTTCCGAGGACCCGCGGGCAAAGGGGGGCACGCGTAAACTTGGCGCTCCTGTGAGGAGTCGTCTGGCGCGCGGTCGCTTGTCCGCATCCCTGCGGCAATTCCGGTGAGCTCACCGGTTTGCGATCATCCGATTCGTTCATTGTTTGCCGCGTCGTGAAACGAAGGAGATGCAGGAGCAGCGCGAGGATCCTCAGAAGGAGAACGCCGTGAGCGGCAACGACGCGGACGACGCCGACGAGCTCGCCTGCAAGCCCAACGCGACGTCCCAGGAGGCGGATCGTTCGCCGAAGCCGGCGGCGCTCGGGCGCGAGGGCGGCGGCCTCGCCGACCTGCTCGCCACGGGCACGCCGAAGGCGCCCGAGCCCGCCGCGCCGCGCCGCGACGGCGAGTCGCGCGGCGTCGAAGGTGGGGGGTCCGCGCGCGCGTCGCCGCGCGACGTCGATCGATCGGTTCCGCCGCGCGGAGCCGCGCGAAATCTCCCTCGCAGGCGGCGGCGAGACCAAGGACGCGAAAAAGTCGCGCAAGGAGTCCCTCGGCGCGGACGCGCCGCGCAAGAAGAAGAAGGCCAAGAAGGCGCGGCGCCTCCCCGCGGACCCGTTCGCCGCCGCCGAGCAGGAGGCGGGCGCGAACGGCCGCAAGGTCCTCTGCTCCATGACGGGCACGATCAAGGGCCACCACGGCCTCGAGTTCAAGTACGGCGCCGCGCTCACGGGCGTCTGGGCCTACCGCCAGGAGCACCTCGAGACGACGCACGCGCTCAAGCGCGCGGCCGGCGCGGTTCCGCGGAATCGCGACCGCGCCCGCGAGTGCCCCCCCGCGCCCAGGTTCACCATGACGGTCCTCGAGAAGGAGCCCGGGACCCTCGTCTGCCAGGGCACCTTCACGGACGACCCGGCGCTCTGGGGCCACGGCGCGGCGCCGGCGCGCTCGCGGGGATTTTCACGACTCGCCCGGAGTCCCACCGCCCCGCGCAGGCAAGGACCGCCGCGACTCGTTCGTCGTCACCGTCGGCCCCGACGGCCGCACGCGCGCCGGCCGCGTCCGCGCGGCCGGCGAACTCCCCCGCGCGCCCGCCCGGAACGACCCCGCGCGCGCGCGCGGGCGACGACGCCCCGCCCCGCGACGAGCGCACGCGCGTCCCGCGCACCGCAGGATCACGGGCGCGGGCAAGTCGCACTACGGCGACTACGACGTCACGGGCACGCTCGCGCGCGCGCCCGGCGACACGCACGCGAAGCTCCGCCTGACGAAGTTCAAGAAGCCCAAGCCCTGGTACTACGACCCCTGCGTCGTCTGCGGCGAGGAGGGCGACACGGCGACGCTCCTCCTCTGCGACGGCCAGGACAAGCACTGCAAGAACGCCGCGCACCTCGCGTGCGTCGGCCTCGACGCGGTCCCGGACGGCGAGTGGTTCTGCCCGGACTGCGCCAAGCCCCAGTGCGCCGCGTCCTGCGTCTGCCGCCGCCGCCTCTAGGCGCCGCGTCCTGCGTCTGCCGCCGCCGCCTCTAGGCGCCGCGACGAGGTCGCCCCCGAGCACCCATCGAAGCCGCATGTTCCCGACTGTGCCCTCCCCCCCTTCATCACGCCCTTCATATATAGACACGAACTGTATGTGCGGCGGCGGCGCGTGGATCGGCCTAGAAGTAGCTCTTGGCCGTGATGAAGCCGCCGAGGCTCATGAACGCGAAGCCCGCGGCGGTGATGAGCTTGCAGGCGCCCTTCTCGAGCTTGGACAGGGCGTCGCCCTTGGTCTTGAGGAGGAGGAGGGACGGGATGACGTAGGTCAGCGCCGAGCCGAGCGTCGCGCCCGCGAAGGCGACGACGAAGCCCGCGTCCGTGACGTAGTGCGCCGCGACGCCGAGGCCGCCGAGCATGCCCAGCGTCAGCGCCTTCTTCGCCGGCGGGGTCCAGGCACCGGGCGTGACGCCGTCCTTGAGGCCCGCGAAGGCGAAGGGGAAGGACGTGAGGAAGGAGAAGAAGAAGACCGCGCGCGCCGCGTCCGCCAGGGTATCCACCACCTTCGACGTCGCGGACCCGTAGGCGTTGAGCACGAAGCCCGGGATGTCCGGCCGGCCGGTGCCGAAGGTCGCGACGCCCAGCGCGGCCACGAGGCCGTTGACCAGGGTTGTCAGCGCGAACGCGCCCGCGACGGCCTTGGCGAAGCGCCGGTTCGCCGTCGGGCCCTGCGGGTCCGCGAGCTCCGCGCGGAACGCGGGCGCGTTGTAGTGCGCCAGCGTCGCCGTCGCCAGCGTCGACAGCAGGATGATCGTCGCCCCCGAGCCCGCCGCGGCGGCCGCGGGCGCCGCGGCGACGGCGACCCTGTCGGGCGTGAAGCAGCGGAGGCCCATGAACGCGACGACCAATAACGTCGACGCGAGGCCCGCGAGGGAGAAGGGCTTGAGGGAATCCAGCGTCGGCGCGAGGCAGAGCGGCGCGGCGACGGCCATGGTCGCGGCGAGCACGCGCGCGCGCGTCGCGAGCGCGGGCACCGCCGACGCGACGAGCGGCACGCCCAAATCCGCCAACACGATGCCGTACATCAAGCACGCCGACGCGCACTTGAGGACCGTGCCCCCCTTGATGAGCCAGGACGTCGACCCGAGCCCCGCGGCCTCCCAGGCCTCGCCGAGCGTCGCCCGCTCGCCGTTCGTCGCGCGGCCGATCATGTTGAAGCAGTACGCCGACATCGACGCGAGCGCGACCATCATCGCCAGGGGCGCCGCGAGGCCGCCGGCGAGCGACGCGCCGGGCGCCATGGTCCGCGACATGGCCGCGGGCATGGCGAAGGTGCCCGCGCCGATCAGGTTCTTGGCCACGCCCAGCGTCGTCGCGGGCACGCTCGCGCCCGTCTGCTTTTGTTCCCCGGCGGCGGCGGCGAGCAGGCGGCCCGGTTTCTTACCGAGCGCGCCGGGCTTCAGCGGGCGCAGCGGCTGCTGGAAGGCATGCGCGGTTGCTATGAGCAATGCGAGCGGTGCGAACCGCATGATCATCATACACGCGCGCTCCGAGCTGCTACTGCCACAAGCCTCAACACCTCAATTTGAACTTCAGGGTCTCATTCAACAACGAGCCGCGGCAAGAAGGTCCTCTCCTTCGAAGAAATCGAACTGCTGCCGCTGATCATGGCGCGAATCCTCGCGCTGTCAGCCATGGTGGCGGCCGCGACCGCCTTCCTCCAACCCCCACAACGCATCGCGCGCACCGCGCTGCGCGCGGAGAGTTTGAACCGCGGGAGCAAGCCGCCCATGTCCGACGCGGACAAGGAGGCGGCCATGAAGCGCATGGGCTACGTCTTCGACGCGTCGCGCAACACGTGGACGCGGCCGCCGCCGAACCGGCCGGCGCGGAAGCCGGCCATCGCGCGGTCGCCGGCGAGCGCGCGGCTGCTCGAGGTGCGCCTCGGCGACGGCGCGTCGGACGAGGACGTCGCCGCGGCGCGCGGCGCCGCGGACAAGTTCAAGGGCGCCCTGAAGGCCGCCGGCGCCGTCGAGGCCGCCGCGCCGACGCCGCGCCAGACGCTGGAAGCCCTGGGCATGAGTCTGGCGGCGGCCAAAGTCGTCGGCCCCGTAGCTTTAGCGCTGGCCCAGCTCGGCCTCTGGGCGCTGTGCCGCGACGCGGCCGCGGATTTCGTCGTCGGCGACTTCTTCGCCGGCGACGTCCTCCCCGCGTCCCTCGGCGACTGGCGCCTCGCGGGCCTGGCGGCGGCCTTCGCGGTCTTCGGCGCGGACCCGACGGCGTCGGCGCGGCCGTGGAACGCGCGCGCGCTGAGCGGCGCGCTCGAGGGCGTCGCGGCCGACGCGGCGTCCGGCGGCGCCCTGCGCCTGCCCGCGCCCGACGCCTGGCGCGCCTCCGAGCCGTCCTGGCGCGCCGCGGCCGCGGGGCTCGACCTCCTCGCGGCGTGTCCCCGCGTCGCGGCGCTGCACGGAGCGATGCAGGCGCAGCTCTGGGCCGAGCTCGCGGCGACGCAGCCCTTCCGGGACGCCCGGGGCGACGCCTGGGTCGCCGTCGGGGCGTGCGCCGCCGTCGCGGCCTTCGCGGCCGCCGCGGACGCCGTGGCGGCCGAGCGCGGCGACGCGGTCCTCGACGCGGAGCGCGCCGCCGTCGCCGCGTCGCTCGACGACCACGACGGCGACCCGGTCTACGGCGCGCTCTGCGCCGCCTGGCTCGCGGAGTTCCCCAGCGGCGGGAGGGGGGGGGACAGGCTCGCGCCCGCGGCCGCCGGCGGCCGCGCGGCGGCCGCGGCCGGCGCCTACGCGCTCACGGGCGCCCTCGCCGCGCCCCTCGCGCTCCACGCCCTCGCCGCCGCCGTCGCCGTCGCCGCGCCCCTCGCGCCGGACGCCGACGACGCCCCGGACCCGGACCGCTGCGTCGTCACCATCGAGTGACCGACCGAGGGTTCCCCTTGCACATAACGCCCCCTTGGATATACAGGCCGGGAGAGTTCCCCGTGCGCCCTTTTTTGAACGCCCCTCTTAGGCGCTCCCTCGCTCCCTCGCCAGGCTATCCATAGACCGACTGTCCGTCGACGACGCCGAGTACCGCCACCGTCTGTAGCAGAAGGGCCGTGTGAGAGGTGTCGAAATTTCAGAGAGGATCTCACCGACCCCCGGCCAGCAAATCGGTCGAAACTGTTTCGACGCAATAATTACCCCGGGCTGGACTCGATTTCAGCACCTCCGATCCATCACCGTCTCGCGCGCGCCGGCGCGGGCTTTGCACGCGCTCTCGCGCCGTTTTAGGGGTTGGATCGCGTCGCTCGCTCCCCTCAGAGTGCATCGCCCGCCGCGCGCCTCCGGGGAGGACCCCGAAGGCGTTGAGAACGGCGAAGGCGCCGAAGACTCCGTTGAGCTCGCGAAACTCGACCGCAAAAGCCCCCTGGCGCGCCGCCGCCCGCGCGTACCCGCCAAAACGCGGCTTCCATACTTGCAGCGGCGTGAGCGCGCCTCGGATCCCCCCCCCGAAGGCGACGCGCGCGCGCGCTCGGTCGTTCGGCGACGACGTCGAACCGGCTCGAGCGGCTTCGCCGACATCGCGGCGCAGGTCCAGAACGCCCTCGACATCATGCTGCGCCACCTCAAGAAGTTCACGGTCTACTCCTCGGTGATCGTTGCTGGCCAGGCCTCTCGCGCCCTCGACAACGCGCCCGCCGGGCAAGATGAGTCCGAGGACGCCGAGGACCTGCTCCGTCGACTCTCCGAGTGCGAGGACGCTTCCTACGTCCAGATCTTCGGCGACTGCTACGACCCGGATACGACGGACCTGCGAGCTGCCCCCGCGCCCCCGATGCGCGCCGCGCGACCGACCCTCGGCGTCGCAGGGACCTAGTGAATTTCTACTACGGTGGCTACTACTACGGCCGCCCCGATATCACCGGCACGATCCCGACCGAGATCGGCCTGCTCACGGCGCTGACGTCCCTGCGAGTTTCCCCCGCGTCCCCGACGCCCGGCGCGGCGCGCGACCGCCCCTCGGCGTCGCAGGGACCTCCCCGGCGGCGATATCTCCGGCACGTTCCCGACCGAGATCGGCCAGCTCACGGCGCTGACGTCCCTGCGAGTTCCACCCGCGTCCCCCGACGCCCGGCGCGGCGCGCGACCGCCCCTCGGCGTCGCAGGGGTCTCCGCGACAACAAGATCACCGGCCGGATCCCGACCGAGATCGGCCAGCTCTCGGCGCTGACGAAGCTGCGAGTTCCCCCCGCGTCCCCGACGCCCGGCGCGCCGCGCGACCGACCCTCGGCGTCGCAGGTGGCTCAACGACAATCAGCTCGACGGCCCGATCCCGACCGAGATCGGCCAGCTCACGGCGCTGACGTCCCTGCGAGTTCCACCCGCGTCCCCCGACGCCCGGCGCGCCGCGCGACCGACCCTCGGCGTCGCAGGTGGCTCGACGGCAACAAGATCACCGGCCCGATCCCGACCGTGATCGGCCAGCTCACGGCGCTGACGTACCTGCGAGTTCCCCCGCGTCCACGACGCGCGGCGCGCCGCGCGATCGCCCCTCGGCGTCGCAGGTGGCTCAACGACAATCAGCTCGACGGCCCGATCCCGACCGAGATCGGCCAGCTCACGAAACTGGACTTCCTGCGAGTTCCCCCCGCGTCCCCGACGCCCGGCGCGGCGCGCGACCGCCCCTCGGCGTCGCAGGTTCCTCGAAGACAACGAGATCACCGGCCCGATCCCGACCGATATCGGCCAGCTCACGGCACTGAATTCCCTGCGAGTTCCCCCCGCGTCCCCGACGCCCGGCGCGCCGCGCGACCATCCCTCGGCGTCGCAGGCATCTCGGAGACAACCAGATCACCGGCCCGATCCCGACGGAGATGGGCATGCTCACGAAGCTGGGGTACCTGCGAGTTCCCCCCGCGTCCCCGACGCCCGGCGCGCCGCGCGACCGCCCCTCGGTGTCGCAGGTACCTCGAAGACAACAAGATCACCGGCACGTTCCCGCTCGCCCTCTGCGACGCCGAGCATTGTTCCGCCAAGTCCGGCAACGACCTCGTCGCGCCGTGCGGCACGACGGGCTGCTGCGATCTCGCTTCTCGTCCGGCGGCCTGCTCCTCGTCCGGCGGCGGCGACGCGTGCTCGGGACTCGCGAAGAAGACCTGCAAGAAGTCCGCGGGCTGCGCGTACAAGAAGAAGACGTGCATCTCGTGCTCCGAGCTGTCGAAGAAAAAGTGCAAGAAGACCGACGGCTGCGACTACAAGAAGAAGCAGTGCACCTACTCGTGCTCGAGACTGTCGAAGAAAAAGTGCAAGAAGACCGACCGCTGCAAGTACAAGAAAAAGAAGGACAAGTGCCTCGCCAAGAAGTAGTGCGCCCTAGGGCCAAGGAATCGGGCGCGCGAGGTCTCAACGACCCCCGCCCGCCGAGGCCCGCGTCGGGCCACCAGCCCGCCGCCAGGCGCCTCCACCGAAAGTCACCCCGCGCGCCACACCCCCACTCTCCGAGCCTCGCGCCGACCGCCCGCGTCGTCGTCGCCTCCTCTTCGGAGGAGCGCGGCCGTTCGACGCGGCGCGCGAGGCGCGTCGCTCCGTTATATCCGCGCGCCTCCCAAGTGTATATATACTAGTACTTCCGCACGCGTCGGCGCTGGGTGCCTGCCCTCCAAACGGACCCGGGCTTTGGAGGAACCATGCGTGAGGAAAGGGGTCGTGAGAGGTGTCGAGATTCCAGCGATTGACGGAGCATCTCTCGACGTCGTTTGCTTTTTATCCCAGGGCCATTACTCGTCGTCGTCGTCGGGCTTGCCGCGCTTCGCCTCGTGGCCGTCGTCGCCCGCGGACGAGAGGGGCCGCTTGCCGCCGTGGAGCGCGAGCTCGTAGAGGATGGCCTCGATCTTCTTCACGGCCGTCGACAGGGGGTCGAGCTTCTTGCCGAGCTTGGGCGGCAGCGCGAGGCCGCCGAGCTGCTCGAGGACCGCGACGTCCGTCGCGTAGACGCGGTGGACCGCGTCGACGTCGCGCTTCGTCGCCGCGGCGACGGCGACGCGGCCGATCTCGCCCGTGAGGTCGCAGACGCCGCCGAGGTACTCCTCGTCGCTCAGCGGCAGGCCGAGCGCGTCCGGCGCGGCGACGGCGCCGTCGTGCGCGAGCCAGTGCGCGAAGAGCGCGGCCTCGGCCCACTCCTCGAGCGCGCTGCTCAGCGCGCCGTAGCGGAGCTGGGGCCACTTGGTCACGAGCTCCGGGTCGTCGAGGATGGCCTCGGCCGCGGCCGTCGCCGCGGCGAGCAGCGCGTCGGCCTTCTTGCCGTCGCCGCGGTGGCACGCGAAGATGGCCTGCTTGGCGCCCTTCTGCACGTCGCGGCTCAGCTTGATGACGCGCTCGCGCGCGGCGTCGGAGGCGTCCATGCGCGCCTTGACGGCCGCGAGCGACGCGAGGCACGGCGCCGGCGCGGCCTCCTCCGCGGCGGCCTCGGACGCCTTCCCCGCGAGCGACTGCTCGTAGAGCACGTCCTCGAGGCGCCGCAGCGCGTACTTCAGGCCGTCGTACTTGCGCCGGAGCGGGCCGTTGCGGAAGTCGAAGTCGAGGAGCGCGCCGTTGAGCTCCGCGACGCCGTCGCGGCAGATCGCCACGGACGCGGCGTCGCCGACGGTCGCGCGCCGCGTCGCGTAGCGCACGAGCTCCTGCGCCGCGCCCAGGAGGCCGCCGACGTACTCGTTGTCGACGTCCGCGTCCGACTCGGGCAGCGCCGGGAAGCGGCCCGTCGTCACGAACGCGAGCGCCGCGCCGACGACGGCGGTGGCCTCGCCGCAGTCCCGCAGGGGGAAGCTCCGCTGCCGCGTCGCCGGATTGAAGCCCGCGACCGCGGGCACGGCGGCGAGCGCCGCGGCCGCGCGCGCGTGCGCCGCCGACGCGCACTCGAGCTCGCCGAGCTGGAACTGCAGCGCCGCGAGGGTGGCGTCCTTGCGCACCTCGCGCGCGTGATCTCCGGCGACGCGGTGCTGCTCGCGCTCCGCCTCGAGGCGCGCGGCGAGCGGCGCCCAGCCTTGTAGGGCCGCGAGGCGCGGAATAATCGTCGGCGGCGCGGGGATGCGAGCGGATGCGAGTGCCATTGCCATTGGGCGATGCGAGAAGTTGATCGTGTTGTGGCGGTCGCGACTTCGCGATGTCGGCCTTCGACGGCGTCCGCGCAGCCTCCGCGCCGATGTCGTCGCCGCGTGGGGGTCCCGGACCCATGAGTAGACGAATACACGTGGGTCAGTTTATTGCTCGTCGAACCATTGGCCGCTGGGATGTCAAGCGAGGCGTTCGAAGAACTGCGTCGTCCTACCCGCTCCTCAACAGCGGCTCGACGCTCTAGTCGGGAGTAAACATTACTACGAGTCTAGTAGCCGCCGCGGAGCATGTAGAATTCCGCGACGGCGGACATCACGTCGCGCGGGCGGTCGCCGAAACACTTCGTGAGGATGGAGACGTGGACGTCCAGTTGCCGCGCCGCGTACTCGTCGAAGCCGCCCGCTTTCTTGACGGCGTCGACGAGCGCCCAGGCGGAAGCGCTGCGAAAATCTCTCGCAGGGGGGGCAATGCTACTGACCGCGGCCCCGGCGCGGAGGAGATCGAGCAGGATGAATCGATGGCCGTCGTGAAGGGCTCTACCGAATGGCGTCACGGTCATGATTCCTCTTCCGGTACCCGCGTCGACATCGGCGCCCGCCTCTATGAGAGCAAGGATCAGCGCACGGTGGGCCCGCTTGCACAATCTGCCGTCAGGTGAGTAACCAGTAGTAGCCAGAAGTAACGGAGTCATATTATCGACAGGGGTTCGGGCGTTTACATGCGCGCCCGCTGACAAGAGAAGCTTGACAGCTTCAACACGCTTAAAAAAAGCAGCCAACTGCAACGGTGCATACTGATCGGCGCCTTCATAACGGGGGGGTTCACGCCGATTCGGGTCGGCGCCCGCAGCGAGCGCACTTCGCATGCTTAACGTGTCTCCAGACCTCGCAGCAAGTAGAAGGATAGCATCATTTCGGAGCATCGCGCTCGTCTCCATCGCTCGGTTTTTCCACGGATTTGCACACAAGCTCTTTGTCGACAGGAATTTGGGGTCGAAGAGGGCCGGACGAGGCCCTATGCTTCAATGGCGGCGGCGACTCGGCGCGATCGCCGACAAAATTTCCACAAGGACCCCGCGCTTACCAAGCGCCTCGTCTAGCCGGTGTGGTCGTCCACGTCGTGTAGTTGTCCGCGTCGTGTGGTTGTCCGCGCGTCGTGTGGAGGGACAAATTATCACCTGACCACAATGCGATGGCTCGTGGTCGCCGTCGCGCTCTGCGTCGCGAGCGCAGAGGACGAGCCGCTCGAGTGCCCCTGCGGCCTCGACGACAAGCCCTGGCCGTCGACGCCGCCGAAGGACCAGGCCCTCGTCTTTTTGCACGTGCCTAAAGCGGGCACGTCCTGGACCGTCACCATGGCCCAGGTGCCCGCGGCCTGCCACGGCGTGTCGTCCGCGGGCCTCGGCGCGGCGATGCGGCGGTGCGTCCGCGAGGGCAACAACTTCCAGGAGGAGTGCGCGTTCGAGGTGCTCCACGGGCGGAGCCCGCGGTGCATGAACGCGCTGAAGCGGTCCGTGCGCGCGCACCAGCCGCTCAGCGCCGCGCGCGCGCCGCCGGACCGCTACGTGGCCATGTTCCGCGAGCCGGTCCAGCGCCTCGCGTCGCTCGCGCGCGCGGCCCGGCGCCGGAAAAAAAAAGGGCGATCGCGAAGCATTCACACCTGATCGCTCGTCCGCGCAGGCATGGCCCAGGCGAACCAGGCGCGGGGCTCCCGGAACCTGCCCGGCGCCGGGTCGTCGACCTACGCCGACGTTTTGTACGCGCGGCTGCCGAATTTGACGCGCGCGACGTTCTCCGAGCAGCCCGAGGTCCTGGGCTGCGCGACGCGCATGCTGACGGGCGTCCCCTGCGTGGGACCGACAACGGTCCTCGCGGAGGACGTCCGCGCGGCCGTCGCCGCGGTGTCGAAGCTCGGCTTCGTCGGACTCACGGAGCGCTGGACGGAATCCGTGTGCCTCTTCCACCGGACCTTCGGGCTCCCGAGACCGAAGAGGGCGCAGGCGCTCAACTCGCGCGCGGGAAATATCTACGGCGAAGCAGAGCGCGGCGCCGCGCGGGACCCGGCGGACGAAGCGGTCTACGCCGAGGCCGCGCGCGTCTTCGCCGCGAGGCTCCGGGAACGCGGCGCGGCCGCGTCCTGCGTCGCCGACGCGGAAGCGCTGGCCGTCGCGCCGCCGCGACCCGGGGAAAAAACGGTGCGCTACGACGAGCCCGGCGACGAAGCGCCGGAGCTTCCCCCCTTGGACTGGGCGTCCGCGCCGCGGGCCTGGCGCTTCTTGGAGCGCGACGCCGCGGCCTTCTCGCGCTTCGACCGGGCCGCCGTCGCCCGGGCCTTCCACGAGCCCGCGGACCCGACGCGGCGCGGCGCGCGCGCGACGACGGCCGGCGGCCGCCTCTTCGTCGAGTACGCGCGCGACCGCGATCTGATGGGCGTCGCGCACTGGTACCGCGTGCCGACCTTCGCCGCGGCCCTGCTCGAGGTGCTCCGGCGCGCGCCGGACCTGCCCGCCGTCGACTTCGTGCTCCTGCCCATGGACGTGCCCGGGATCACGCGCGCCGGCGACCCGCCGCTCTTCGCGGAGGCGCGGTCGCGGCGCGAGCCGCCGGACGCGCGCCAGTGGCTGCTGCCGTCCTTCGACACGTTCCGCCTCGAGGGCGGCGACGTCGGCGACGTGGCGCCCGCGGCGACGCGCGAGGCGTCCGGCGCGTACTGGCGGGGCACCGTGCGCCTCTTCTACGGCTACGCGCGCGACACCTTCGTCGTCGCGCGGAAGGCTTTGATGTCCCTCGGCCAGGACGCCGTCGGCGGCGACGCGCTGGCGGAGCCCGTGGACCGGCGGCTCCAGTTCAGCGGCGGCGCGGGCACCTGGCGGCGCTGGACCGTGTCGACGGCCTGCGATCGAAGCGACGGCCGCCTCGATCTGGTCGAACCGCGCGGCGTCGAGCTGAGCGTCGGCTCCGCGTCCGAGCCGCAGCGCACGTCGCTCGTCGCCGACGTCAAAGAGCTGCGTGCGACGCTCCTCGCCGACGCGGCGGGCGGAAACGCGCCGACGAACGCGAAGCTGCGGAACTACGGCTTCGGCGACCACGGCGCCGCGTGCGCCAAGGAGGCGCTCCTCTATCTGGACGGCATCTCGACGTCCAACGGGCTCAAGTACTACCTGGCCTGCGGCGTGCCCGTGCTCATGGACGAGGCGGCGACCTTCGAGGATCTGATCACGGCGGCCTGGGCGTCGACGACGCCCGGGGGGCGGTTGCGGCCCGGCGTCGACTACGCGTCCGTCGGGCGGCGCGGCGACACGTTCCGGGGCGACGCGGACGGCGTCGCGGCCCTGGAGCGGCGCTTCTGCGACGACGTCGCCGGCGCCGTCGACGGCCTGCGCGCGGACCCCGCGGCCGCGGCGGCCATGGGCCAAAGGGGCCGCGCGGTGGCCCTCGAGGTCGGCTCCGCGCGCGCGGCGCTCGAGTACCTCGAACTGGCGCTCCGGGCCTACGCGCGGCTCCAGAACTTCGGCGCGCCGCCCGGCGGCGCGCGGCCGCGTTTGAGGGATGGCCGGGGGGTTCCCGCGGCCGCGCGGGAGACGCGGCTCGACGACGACGCGGACGTCCGCCACGCGTACGCGGAGCTCCAAATCGTGCTCCTCGGCGACGGCGACCCCGAGGCGCTCTTCGCGCCGGCGGCGGGCCCCTCGAAAGCGTCCCCGCGGCCCGGCGCGTGCGCGGGGCGGTCCGGCACGCCGCCCGTCGTCGTCGCCGGCCAGTCCGTCGGCTCGCGCGCCTCGGCCGTCGCGTTTCTCCTCCGCGCGGCGGGCCTGCGCCTCAACGGCCTCGACGACGACGGCACAAACTCGGCGGCGCGCACGGTCGTCGCGAAGACCGCGGGCCGCGACAAGGGCGCGAACAAGGCGCGTCGCAGCGACGCGGCCGCGCCGGACCCGGTCGACGCCGCGGCCGTCGCGCTCGCGGGCTTCGACGGCCTGCGGACGTTGGCGACGGCGGGGCGGCTCAAGTCCCTGCTGTACGACGTGGAGGAGCTGCCGGTAGCGGACCGGCGCGCGGAGCTCGCGGCCGCGTGCGCGTTCGCGCTCGACGTTTCCGCGCTCGCCGCGGGCGACGGCCCCTGGGGCTGGCGGTCGACGCGCAACGCGTTCCACCTGCCGGCCTTCCAGGTCGCCTTCCCGGGCTTCCGCCTGCTCCACGTCGTCCGCGACGTCCGCCGCGTCGTCGCGCCGGGCGCCGAGGGCGCGCCCGCCGCGTGGCGCCGCTACGGCCTCGCCGTCGCCTTCGCGCCGGCCGGCGGCCGCTGCGACCGCGTCTACGGCGGCGTCGTCGCCTGGCGGAAGACCTTCGAGGCGTTCTGGGCCGAGCAGCAGACGGCGCTCGCCGCCGCCGGCGCGGCGCTCGGGCCCGCGCGCTACCGCCTCGCGCGCGTCGAGGACCTCGCCGCGGGCGACGCCGAGGCGGACGCGGCGGTCGCGTGGGCCCTCGGCGACAGCCCCCCGGCGCCCGGCGCCCGGGTCGCCGCCTTTGGCGACGCGCCGGAGCCCGCAAATGCGCCGCACGCCTGCGACGTTCTGGTCGACGGCGTCTTCGAGGGCCGCGGCGCCGCGTTCCTGCGGACGCAGCTCCGCGGCGTCGGCCGCGCGCCGCTGTCCCTCGCGCCGGAGACGTCCGTCGTCGACTTCCTCCGCGAGACGGGGGCCTGGTCGCCGCAGGACGACGCCGCGGCGGAGGCCTTCTTCTCGGACGTCGCGTTCGGAGACGGCGGCGAGCGGCGTCTCGAGCTCAAGTCGAGCTTCGCGCGGCGCCTCGCGGCCGCGCCGCGCCTCGCGGCCGTCGCGGCCGTCAAGGCGCGCTGCGCCGACGGCGCCCGGGACCTCGCGGCGCCCGTCGCGGCGGCGCTTGCGGCGCTCGGCTACGCGGCGACCGTCGCCGTCGCGCCGCGCGCGTACGCGGCGCGCGGCGCGGCGACGGCGGCCCAGCGGCTCTACGCGGACGTCCCCGCGGCGTCCTACTGCGCCGGCGACGACGCGGCGCCGGCCGTGCCGCCGGCGTCCAAGGGGGGCGGCGGCCGGCGGCGGCGGGGGCGGCGCGGGAAGAAGGGGCCCGGGTGATGGGTCGCAAACTATCCTTCGAAGTATGTACTAGGACGTATTAGCACTAATAATCGCCGTCGTCGCCCCTGTTGAGTGTGTAGTTCGCCTCGAGATATCCGACTTCATCATCTATGAAATCGGACTCGGAGTCGGTCTGGTCCTCCCACTCGGAGATCCACCGGCGCCGGCGGGGAATGTCGTAGTACCGCCATTCGAATTCGCGCTTGAATTCGTCGTCGTCGAGGATCATCTCGAAGATACCTCCTTTTTCTTCGTCGAGATGGATGTAGTCCTCGTGATGATCGTTCCAATGGATGTCCTGATGCTCATCGTCGACGAAGGATCGCAGCGTCGGTTTGAGGCGGCGGCCGGAGGCGCGATCGTTCCAGTAGCGCGCGGGATTGCGTCGGTAGACGTTGAGACTCGTCGCGCCGGGCCCGCCCTGGCGGGCGAGCGCGCCTCGGATGTGCTTGAGCACGTACTGCTCCACTTGCCTTTGGCCGAAGCGCGCGACGACCATCGCATTCGTGAAGCCGTGCAGCACGATCATGGGCTCGCACGCGGTAGAGGCGGCGGCGGCGATGGCGATCTGTTCCCTGTGCGCGGCGGCGGCGACTGCAAGCTTCACGGCCGCGTCCGCGGCGGCGGTCACGGCGTCACGCACCTTCGCAGTCAGCTCAGCCTTGCGCTGAGCATCCGAGCCATCGTCCTCGGCGACTCGTTCCCGCGCCCTCTGCTCGTAGTACTCCGCCGTGTCCGCGTCGCCGGCCGCCTTTTCGAAGGCGCGCCGCGCCACGCTCAGTGCCGGGGGCCGCTCGAATTCCTCGTCGGAGTCCGAATGGACGGCGCTCGCGTCGGAGTCCGAATGGACGGCGCTCGCGTCCTCGCCCATGCCCACGGAGGGGCAGCTCCTCGCGGGGCACACGACAAACGCGGTCGCGTCGCAGCGCCCGCAGGCCATGCAAACCCAGAGGGGGAGGACGGCCGCGAGCTGGCGCGCGGGCGATGGCGCGGCGGTGGCGGGCGCATCGTCGTCCACCTCGTCGTCGGAGGAATCCAAAGCCGCCTCGAGCTCGTCGAGCCGCGCCAACCCGTCGCGGTCGAACCGATCGACCGCGTCCAACGTCATGTGGAGGAAAGCTTTGTTGACGTACCAGAGCTGATACACCTGGAGCGTGTTCCAGAGACTGCGCCCACGAGACGGCGCGACGACGCCACAGAACTCGAGGATGTTTGCCGTCGCATCCTCGTTGTGCAGCAGGGTCGAGAGCGTCCCGCAGACCGCCAAATCCGCGGCGCACAGTCGCGGGAGCTTTTCGATGGGCTCGTCGTCGTCCGATTCATCAGTCGTCGTCGCGGCGACGCCCCCAAATATACGGGCTCGAAGCCACTCCATCCTCACGCCGCCCTGTGGCGATCTTGTGGCGACGCCGAGCGCGCCAAGGCGACGCCGAGCTCTCGAGGCGTTCGATTCGACTCGAAGACTAAGTCCTTCCGAGTCCGAGGCAAGTGAAACGTCCCCACGGACCCCGTATAAAAACAACAGAGCCACTTACCGGACTGGAGCTTTGTTCAAGCTAGAGCCTCCGCGGCGGGCTCTGGGGCGTGTTGGCGACGTCGGCGACCTCGAGCGTGGCCTGGTTCGAGAACGTGTGGCGGATCTTGCCGTTCTCGACCGTCGTCTTGTTCGGGTTCACGTCCTCCTTGGCGAAGAGGGACCCCCGGCGGCGGAGCGGCGCGGGCGGCGAGTCCCTGAAGGGGTCCGGCGCGACGGGCGACGCGGGCGCGGCGCCGCCGGCGAGCATGTTGAAGATGCTGTTCTTGCGCCGCGGCGGCGGCGCGCCCTCGGCCGCGGCGCCGGGCGTCGACAGCGTCTGGGACGCGCGGCGGAGGAGCTTGGACAGGGAGCCGCGGCGCTTCGCGCCGGCCGCGGGCGCGGCCGCGGGCGCGGCGGCGCCGTCGTCGCCCTTGCCGAAGAACTTGGAGAGCGACGACCGGCGGCGGCTCGACGCCGTCGGCGCGGCGGCGGGCGCGGCGCCGCCGTCGTTCTTGGCGAAGAACTTGGACAGGGACGTGCGCCGCTGGCTGCCCCGGGGCGGCCCCGCCGGCGCGTCGGCCTTGTCCGCGGCCTTCTTCGCGAAGAACTTCGAGATGGACGACCGCCGCGCGCCCTCGCGGTTCGCGCCGCCCTGGCGCTGGAGGTGCGCGGGCTTTTGCGGCGCCGGTTCGTCGGGCGCCCGGTCGAGGAGCGCGCGCTGCGACTCGCGGCGGCCGAACGTCGACGTCGACCGCGTGAGGAACTCGGAGATCGTGCCGCGGTTCGTCGCGCGGCGGCTCGCGGCCGCGCGGCCCACGGAGTCGGCCTCGTCCTCGTCGTCGGAGTCGTCGACCTTGGCCGCCTCGTCCTCGTCGGACTTGCGGTTGAATAGGATCTCGCGCGCGCGCTTCGTCCAGATGCCGATGCGCGACGTCTCCTTGGACTCGACGAGGTCGTTGAGGCACGTGAAGTCGCCGCCGGGCGCGACGCCGCGCCGCGCCTCGTGGTACTCGATGGCGTAGGTCAGCACGCACGCGAACAGGTCCACGAGGCCCGTCATCGCGGCCTCGTCGCGCGCGGAGTAGGGGATCACGTGGATCGCGCGCGTCGCGTCGCCGTCGCGCACGGCGAGGGTCTCGACGTGCTCGGGCATGGCGAGGTCGTCGATCTTGAAGGCCGTCTCGTCGACGCGGACGCGCGCGTCCGCCTCGGGGTCCGCGAAGGGCAGCACACTACTCGTCGCGTGGCCCTCGTCGTCCTCGCTGTCCGCGTCGCTGTCCTCGTCGGCGTCGGGCGACCAGACGCGGTTGATGAACTGGGCGACGCCGATGGGCGCCGTGCCCGGCGCGCCGAAGGGCAGCGTGAGCACGCTCCGCGTCACGTAGCCCGTCGTCCGGTCGACGCGGTCGCTGTAGTTCGGGTCCATGCGCGCGTCGGGCGTGTTCGACGGCGCCGCGGCGGCGAAGGCCGCGCCGGCCATGCCGTCGCCGTCCTTGATCTTGATGTAGTCGCGCGCGTTCTTCTTGATGTTCGCCGGCAGCTTCGACGCCCACCGCGTGTAGAGCACGCCGTCCTTGGGCTCGTGGAGCCAGACCGTGACGATGTCGCTGGGCGCGACGCCCCCGAAGTTGCCGAAGATGCCGCCGTTCTCCGGCGCGGACCGCATGGCCACCTGGAGCAGGCGGCCCAGGAGCTTGCCCGTCGTGAGGACGCCGCCCGCGCCGTCGCCGCCGCCGTCCTCCGCCGGGTAGTCCTTCATGGTCCGGAGGAACTGGATCATGGCCTCGCCGGCGCTCTCGAAGGCGCGGATGCGCGTCCGCTGCCAGTGCTTCTTCCGGCGGCGCTCGTCGCGCGCGTCGGGCCGGTACGTCGCGGGAGGCCGCGCGTCGTTGAGCACGAACGTCTCGTAGTGGCCCATCTCGAGCATGATCTCGTTGGAGAGGCCGAGGCTCGCGTCGGGCATGGCGCCCTCGAACCAGCGGTCGCCGTAGCGCGCGGCGCTCATGCGCCGCGCCGCGCTCCCGCGGCGGCCCGCGGCCGACGCGCGGCGGCCGCCCGGCGCCGCGACGACGCTGCCCGACCGGCCGCGGTAGTCGGGGCCCGCGATGATGGACCCCGTGCGCTTGCGGTCCGCGCCCGCGGCCTCCTTTGCCGCCGCCGCCTCGGCGGCGGCCTTCTCCTCGGCCTTGGCCTTGCGCTTGGCCTCGCGCTTCGCCTCCCTGGCCGCGGCGGCCTCGCCCTTGGACGCGCCGTCGGGGCTCAGGTCGCCGAGGACGCTCCGCGCGCTCGCCGGGCCCGCCGCCTTCTTCGGCTTCGCCTTCTTCGGCGCGGCCTTGGTGAGGTCCTCGTCGAGGCCCGCGTTGAGCAGGTCCATGATGCCGCCGGTCGTCAGGTCCTCGGCGTCGCCGTCGTCGTCACCGGCGCCGGCCGCGGGCTCGACCCGGGCGCCGTTCTTGCCCTTGGCGCCCTTGTTCAGCGACTTCTTCTTGCCCCCGCCGCCGTTCACCGTCTTCTTCGTGCCCCCGCCCTTGCCGGCCTTGCTCACGCGCAGGCTGCCCGCCTGCTCCTTGAGCGAGTTCCGCACGGCGCGGGGCTTGTCGGCGCTCCGCACCTCGTCCTCGTCGTCGCCCTCGTCGCGCTTCAGCTCGCGCGACGCGCCCGTCAGCGCCTCCGCGTCCGCCATGACGCGGCGTGAAGAAACCGCGCCACCAACAGCAGCAGAGACGCGAACTAGGACAGGGCAGCTCTTCGTTTCAGGGTGGTTTTTTACCTTTTGTAAAATTGCATGACAGGGAAAGGTAGGTGTTGTACACGACGGTGATTCTCTATCTCAAACATGCCCGGTAATATCTTCCGAGATCGTGTGTGCTGTGCGGACGTCGGCTGGTTTGTTCTTGGTCGGGCTGGACACGGTTCCCCGGGGAGATCATGGGGCGGGGCCTCCTCGTCGTCCTCCTGGCCGCGGCCGTCTCGGCCTCGAACGACCGGGAGCTCCTGGGCGCGCCCCCGCGGACCGCGGTCTTCGACGACGCGCGCCTCCCGGCCGCCGGCGCCCTCGAGCGCCTGATCTACCTCGCGGAGAGCTCCTACTGCGTGGGCAACGCGAGCGCGCCCCTGCTGCCGTCGAAGCTCGCCGCGGGCTCGGACCGGATCCTCGCCGTCGTCGAGGCGCGGGGCGCGCGCGTCGTCGTCGGCGCGGCGGGCGACGGCGGCTCGCTCTGGGTGTCGTTCCGGGGCACGGAGAACTACGAGAACTGGATCGACAACGTCAAGTTCGTCCGCGTCCACCCCTACGACGACCCGGACGTCGGCGTCGAGGACGGGTTCCTGCGGTGGTACGAGGGCCTCAAGGGCGGCGTCGCGGCGGCGCTCGCCGCGGCCGCGCCGGGCGTCGCCGCCGCGCGCGCGCCCGTGCACCTCGTGGGCCACTCGGCGGGGGGCGCCGTCGCGACGCTCGCGGCCTACGACTTCCTCCGCGGCGGCGTCTTCTCGGACGCGCTCGCGCTCGCGAGCCACGCAACGTTCGGGAGCCCGCGCGTCGGCAACGCGGAATTCGTCGCGGACTTTTCCGCGCGGCTCGGAGACGTGCCGTCGTTCCGCGTCACGCACGCCGACGACGTCATCCCCCACCTGCCCCAGACGGAGCTCGGCTTCCTCCACGTGCCCGGCGAGCTCTGGCAGGCGAACGACACCGCAGCGCTCGTCAACTGCGACGACGACGACACCAAGGAGGACCCGACGTGCTCCAACTCGTGCGCGCCCCTCCGCTGCACGTCGAAGGCCGACCACCTCCGCTACCTCGGCGAGCCCCTCGGCATCGCCGGCTGCGTCTGAGCGCGCGCCTGCTCAGTGTACATACGACCCGCTCACTTCTTAGCGTCGTTGGGCGGGATGGAGAAGCGGTCGTTCTGGGCCTGGAGCCAGGCGTCGATGCCGTCGTCGTGGTCCTGCTTGAGGCCCTGGCGCACCTGGATGGTGACGAAGCGCTCCCGGAGCCGCGCCTCCTCCTTGGGGCTGAAGTCGCCCGTGACGACGATGCGCGGCACCTCGAGGATGACGCGCTCGAGGAGATAGTCCTCGATGACGTTCTTCGTCAGGTCCTCGGTCCGCGGCGCGCCGTCCTTGCCCCGGCGCTCCGCGAGCTTCTTCTGCTGGCCCGGCGGCGCGGCGCCGCGCGACGCGTCGATGAGCAGGAGGAGCCGCCCGCCGTAGAGGGCCTGCATGAGCATGCGGTAGCGGGGCTGCTGGTTGCGGCCGTAGGCCGCCTCGAGGTAGTGCTCGATGACGGACGGCCCGTCGGTCGGGTGGTGGTGGCCCGCGGCGACGTGCGCCGCGATGCGGTTCAGCGTCGACGCCTTGATGAGGTAGGGCACGAGGTGCGTCGTCTCGTGGCCGTACTGCTGCGTCGCGCTCAGGGAGAGCAGGAGCACGCGGAGCTGGCCCTTGGCCGTGCGGACGTCCGCGTAGTGCGCCATCGACTTGCGGATCCACGCGTTGCCGATCTTCGACGCCGCGGCGCGCACGGCGGCGTCCGTGGCGAGTTTTTTGGATTGCTCCCCAAAGGTCGCGATGGGGATGGCCTCGAAGAGCGCGTTGACGCGCGACTTGCGGTCCTCGGCCGCGGGCGTCGCGTCGCGCGACGGCGGCGCGGGCGCCTCCTGCGACGCCTCGGACAGGGACCGCCGCCGCCCCTGCTCCTCGGCGAGCTTGCGCCGCGACTCGCGGCGCTGCATGAGCAGCAATCTTTGGTCCTCCTTGGGGCCCTCGACGAGCAGCAGGCGCGCGGGCCGCACCGCGCCGCGCGCGCGGTCCGGGCACCGGTAGAGGAGCGCCTGCGTGAGCACGCGGAGGTCGTGGACGTCGCGCCACAGGGACCCGTCCGGCGCGCGGCACCGCTGGGCGATGTCGGCGGCGCCGTTGTCCTGCCACGTGTAGACGCGCGGCGTCTCGACGACGGGGTCGCGCGGCGCCGCCGGCCGGTCCGCGCTTTGTGCCGCGCCGTCGCCGGTGCGCGCCCAGGCCGGCGGCGCCGCGCCGATGCCCGCGACGAGGCCGTGGTAGGAGACAGACCGCTCCAGCGTCGCGTGGGCCCGCTGCGCGCAGCGCCGGCGCACGGCCTCGAACATGTCGCCCCACTCGTTGCGCTCCGCGCGCCACACCTTGAGCTGCTCGACGTAGTCCGACGCGTCCATGAAGTGGTAGCCGTGGTTCGCCTTGTTGAGGTTCATCGTCGCCGTCTCCACGGCGGAATTGTCGTCGCCGAGGAAGACGCGGAGCCGCGTCCGCGTCGCGTCGGACACGAGCACGGCCTCGTCGTTCGTGCGCTGCGGCTGGGGCCGCAGGACGATGGCGTCGTGCCAGCGCGTGCGGTACAACACGCTGAGCCGCTGGCCGCTCTCGTAGCGCACGCCCGGCCGGCAGAGCTCGTGGACGAGGACTTCGAAGTCGACGTCGACGTGGCGGACGTGGTCGTCGTAGAAGAGGCGCTTCACGGCCGCGCCCAGGTTCGCGCGGCCCTTGGCCGTCGACCCGCCGAGACGCGTCACGACCCAGCCGTGCATGACGCCGAGCTTCTCCGCCCTGGAGCCCGCGTCGACGCGGACGACGACGTTCTCCTCGTCGACGGCGAAGCCCAGAAAGTCGACGAGCGCGTCGCCGTCGGCGAGCGCCTCGTCGAGGACGATGGGCCGCATCGAGCCGCCCGTCGCGTGGCGGTCGTAGGTCAGGGACCCCGGCAGCGCCGGCAGCCCGCCGAAGGCCTGCCGCCGCCGGACCTGCGACGGGTCGAGGAGCGCGAAGCCCAGGCGCCGCCGCCGCTGGCCCGACGGGTCAAATTTCAAGCCCGCGCCGTTGTCCGTGTAGAGGTGGTAGTAGCCCGTGATGCGGTCGAGGCTCACGACGGTCGCCATGGCCCAGACGACGTCGTGGGGCATGCGGCCCCGCATCAGCGCGAGGCGCTGGCCCACGCGGAGGCACCACAGGAGCTTCGCGCCCGGCGGCTCGCCCGTGGGCTTGCCCGACGCCTCGTCGACGATCTGGTAGCCGTCGGCCCGGTTCCAGCGCACGGTCGACAGCGTCGTCCGCGCGGCGACGGCCGACCGGGGCTCGTCCTCGGGCCGCGGCGGCGGGCTCATGGGCACGGGCGTCACCGGCCCGTCGGCCGCCTCCTCGGCCACGGGCGCGCAGGGCGCCGCGACCTTGATGGCGTAGACGCCGCTGAGCTTCTTGCCGTCCCAGTGGCGCGCGCGCGCGGCCGCGCGCGCGCGCGCGGCCGTCGGCCCGATGCCGTCGCCGTCGACGGACGGCACGGGCGGCAGCGCGTCGCGCAGCATGAGGCCGTGGGGCGTCGCCTCGTAGTGGCAGGGCACGTCGGCCAACTTGAAGCTGTGGCTCAGGTCCACGAGCGGCTGGTGTTGCCGCGTCGTCTTCGACGCGAGGACGTTGGACACGAGCTGCGCGTCGTCGGGCAGCTCCTGCGCCAGCAGGCCCGTCACGTTCCGCGTCAGGGCGCCGTGGCGCCGCCGCGCGCGCTGCTTCGCCGCGCGGTCCTTGGAGCGGTGGTGCGACGCGCGGATGCCCGCGAGGACGCCCGTCTCGGCGGCGTCGCCGGGCCCCTGCTTCTTGAGGCGGAAGGACCGCTGGAGCCGCCGCGCGGCGACGGCGTGCGACTGGTCGTCGATTTTCTGCGTCGCCTTGGCCGCCATGTGCTTGGCCGTGATCCCCGCGCGCACGGCCGCGCCGGCCGTCGCGAGCGCGGACTTTTTTTTCTTCGCGGGCGATCCGGGGGATTTCTCCGGCGACGCGGCGTCCGGCGGCGGCTCCGGGCCCTCGAGCAGCTGCTCCTCGCGGCGGTGGCTCCGCACGACGCCGCGGAGCCGGTCCGCCGTCGTGCCCGACGCCGTCACGCGGAGCGTCCGCTCCGCGGCCTCGAGCGCCGCGGGCCCCTTGTGGAGGCCCGCGCCGTGGTAGACGCCGCACGCGGCCAACACCACCGGCGCGTCGGCGAGCCGCGGCAGCCAGCGCAGCATGGGCAGGTCCACCAGCCCCCGCCCGAGACGCACCTGCTCCCGGGAGACGACCAATTGAAGCGCGGGCTCCTCGAGGAGCGACCGCCGCGCCTCTCCGAAATCCGCGTCGCCCGTCGCGTCGACCGCGGCCGCGAAGGCCTTCGGCTGGGAGAAGAAGCTCCAGACGGTGGACGCCGCGGCGTCGCCGGCGGCGGCGCGGTCGCCGCCGTCGCCGCCGAGGTCCAGCGTCGCCCTGATCCACCGCTGGAGCACGTCGCGGCCCGCGGCCTCGTCGCGCTTCCGCCGCGCGCGCGCGTCGCGGCTCCCCGGCGGCGGGCTCCCGAACCAGACCAGGTTCGTCTCCGCGCCGCGCTTCCAGGGCTGCATGACGGTGCCCAGGGCGGCCCGCAGCGCGCCCCGGCCGGACGTCGCGCCCTCGAGGAACCGGAGGTCCGTCGTGCACTTGGTCAGGTAGCACGCGCCCTTCCAGAGGAACGCGCCCGGCCGCCACTGGTAGCAGCGCCAGGCGGCGACGGCGCCGACGACGCGCGCCGTGCTCACGTTCACGGCGGCGAGGGCGCCCCTGAGCTCCTCGAAGACCAGGGCCGCCGCCGACGACGGGTCGTCGACGAGAGAGTCGTCCTCGTCCTCGGGCGCGGAGAGGCCGCCGCGCCCCGGCGCGGCGCTCCCCAAGGTGACGAGGCGCCGGTAGCACGCCTTGATCTCGCGGACCTGCTCCTCGCGGCGCCGCACCTCGCGCAGCACCCGGAGCGTCGCCGCGCGGAACCGGACCAGGAGCTGCACCTGGGCAGGACAAGAGAGATTCAACGTCGCTTCAACGTGAGTGTTCCGCGCGCGCGCGTCCCGGAAAAAGCATCCACGCTTCGAGACCGTTCCGAGAGATGATCGCTCGTCCAAAAATCAGCCGAGACGAGTGGAAAACGGCCGAGAAAGGAGCCTTTGAAGTTGGGAATTTCGCTCTCTTGTCCTGCCCTGAGCTGCACGTGCGCCGCCAAAGGGCCGCACCGCGCGTCCGGCGGCCCGCGCTCCGCGTCGTTGTGGTTCCAGATGTGGCCGCCGAGCGTCGCGTCCGGCGGCGGCGTGCGGCTCCGGCTCGCCGACGGCTTCTGCTTCTTCTTCTGGGACGACTTCTTTTTGGTCCCCGACGCGGGAGGCGGCGAGCCGACGCGCGCGCGGTCGAGGAGCGTCGGCGCGCGCCGCGCGGGCGTCCCGAGGGCCGGCGACGGCGACCGGCCCCGAGCCGGCGCGCTCTTCGGCCGCCGCGTCGGCGTCGTCCCGGCGAGCGCCGCGTTCTGCCGCGCGATCTGCCGCCGCCGGCCCGCGGACGCGGGGCGGCCCGCGCCGTCGACGTGGACCTCGACGCGCCGCGCGGCCATGATCGCCGTCAGCGACCGCTCGGGCAGCCCGAGGCTGCCCAGGAACAGCTTCTGGTCCTTGGCCGGCACCTTGAGCTCCTGCCACAGCGCCTCGGCCTACGCGGGGTCGTGTGTGAGGTGTCATATTTTGATCGCTGATTCTCACCCAGCAGAGCAGCGCCTCGATCTTGTGCGGGTGCTTCTGCGCACCCGTGTCCATGGAGATCTCCAGCGGCGGCGTCGCCGCGCCCATCGCGCCGGCCGCGGCGTCGTCGCGCGCTAATCTAAACGATGCACGCCGCTAGATTGAACTTGGCAATAGTGGATGTTGAATTGCTCTTTTCATCCACAGCGTGCTTTGACATCAGAGCTTGATGATGCCCGCGCGCCCGACCATGTGCAGGACCTTGCGCGCCTTCGCGGCCAAGCCGCGGTCCCCGCTATCGCGCGCGGCCGTGCGCGCCTACTCGGCGAAGCCCGCCGCGAACAAGTCCTACGAGGGCGAGCCTTTGGGCCCGAAGAGCGCCGCCGCCGTCGCGCGCGAGGCCAAGGTCGGCGCGGAGAACTACGCGCCCCTGCCCGTGGTGCTGAGCAAGGGCCTGGGCTGCCGGGTCTGGGACGCCGACGGCCGCGAGTACCTCGACTTCCTCTCCGCGTACAGCGCGGTCAACCAGGGCCACTGCCACCCGAAGATCACGGCGGCGCTGAGCGCGCAGGCGTCGACGCTCGCGCTCACGTCCCGCGCGTTCCACAACGACGTCCTCGGCGAGTGGTGCGAATACGCGACCAAGCTCTTCGGCTACGACCGCCTGCTGCCCATGAACACGGGCGTGGAAGGCGGCGAAACGGCCGTGAAGCTCGCGCGGCGCTGGGCCTACGACAAGAAGGGCGTAGCGCCCGGCGATGCCGTGGTGATCATGGCGACGGACAACTTCTGGGGCCGGTCCATCGCGGCGCTGAGCTCGTCGAGCGACCCGACCTGCCGCGGCGGCTTCGGGCCGTACGCGCCCGGTTTCGAGCTCGTGCCCTACGACGACCTCGGCGCTTTGTCGGCGCTCCTCGACGACATCGGCCACCGGACGGCGGCGGTCTTCCTCGAGCCCATCCAGGGCGAGGCCGGCGTCGTCGTGCCCGGCGACGCCTACCTGCCCGGCGTGAAGGCGCTCTGCGAAAAGCACGGGTGTTTGTTCGTGGCCGACGAGGTGCAGACGGGCATCGGCCGCACGGGCGAGCTCCTCGCCGTGGACCGCGTCGGCGTGCGGCCCGACATGCTCGTCCTCGGCAAGGCGCTGAGCGGCGGCGCCTACCCCGTGTCGGCCGTGCTCTGCGACGACGACGTCATGCTCAACGTGCGCCCGGGCGAGCACGGGTCGACCTACGGCGGCAACCCCGTCGCCTGCAAGGTCGGCCTCGCGGCGCTGTCCTGCCTCATCGACGAGGGCATGATCGCCAACGCCAAGGCCATGGGCGACGCGCTCGACGCGCGGCTCAAAGCGTGCGTCGCCGACCGGCGCATCGCGCTCGCGACGCGCGGCGCGGGGCTGCTGCGCGCGTTGATCATCGACGACGCGGACAAGCCGGGGGCGCTGGCCTACGACGTCTGCCTCGCGCTCCGCGACCGCGGCGTCCTCGCCAAGCCCACGCACGGCAACATCATCCGCCTCGCGCCGCCGCTCGTCATCGCCCAGGCGGACATCGACGAGGCCGCGGACGCGCTCGACGACGCCCTGAAGCTCTTCGACTAGCGGGGGACCACCGCGCGCGTCCCCGTCCTCGCTAACGCCCGAATTTACGGCCCTAGCCGCGCTTCTTGTCCATGGGGTCCTCCTTGCCCTTGATGAGGAGCTCCTTGGCCTCGTTGACCTTGGCGCTCAGGAAGGCGGAGCCGCCCATGTCCGGGTGGTTGATGCGCAAAATTCGCCGGTGCGCGTCCTTGATGCGCTGCGCCGTCGCGCTCTCGCGGACGCCGAGGATGAGCGCCGCCTCGCGCCGCGTCATCGCGGCCTCGAAGGGGCCCTCGTAGTAGCGCTTCCCGAAGGAGTCGAACCAGGACGCCGACTCCGCCTTCGCGCCCTCGGTCTCTGGTTCGGGGTTCGCCACCGCCGCCGCCTTGCGCGCCTCCATGATCTTCATGACCTCCCTCGCGCCGATGGCGCCCGCCGCCACCGCGCAGCCGCCGACGACGAGGAACGAGTTGTGTCGCTGCGCCAGCGCGACGTTTTGTGCATGTATGATTCCTGTCGCTGTTCCCGGCGCGCGGCGGCCGGCCAGCCGAAGGGCGTGGCGCGTCGTCGTCGAGGGCATCATCATCGTCGCCGCTCGATCGGCAGCGAGCTCGACGCCGTCGTCGCCTCGCGCGCGCGCTGCGCCACCCACGATGGCGTTCTCTTTCGGCAAGCCCGCTGCAGGCGCGCCCGCGGCCGGCGCCGGCCTCTTCGGCGCACCCGCGGCGACGACGCCGTCCTTCGGCGCGCCGGCGGCGGCGACGACGCCGGCGCCCGCCGCCGGCGCGTTCAGCTTTGGCGCCGCGGCCCCTGCGGCGGGCGCCGCCGCGACGCCGTCCTTCGGCGCGCCCGCGGCGACGACGCCCGGCGGCGGCGGCTTCTCCTTCGGCGGCGCGGCGACGCCGGCCGCGGCGCCCGCGGCCCCGCTCTTCGGCGCCCCGGCCGCCGCGCCGGCCGCGGCCGCGACGACGC